ACCACGCTCAAGCCAGAGAAGTGCGCATTCCCAGGAAATGCTGGGGCTGGCCTGGAGGCGGGCCAGCACAGAGAGGCTCATTTAGGGTGGTGTTCAGCCTGGTCAGAGCGCCATGAATCCAGAGGGACGCGGCATGCTCCTCCGAGAGGGACCTCACTCTAGCCTTCTCAGTTAGCTCTAGAAGGCCAAGGGTCTTTAACTCCTTTATTAATTCAGCAGAATTTTACTGTTGTCTATTGTGCACCAGGCCCCGTGCTGGGTGCAGAGGACAAAGAGGACTCGGAGTCATAATCTTCAGGAAATTCAAAATATGTTAGAAAAAACATGTTTATAAACAAGTTACTGTGATTCAAAGTAAAGGATACAGTGAGGAGTCAGACGTGGCCCTCAAGGAGTTCACAGCCTAGCAGAGGTCTAGAGGGCACAACACAGACAATAACCCAGGGCAGCCTGTGGTAAGGCGCAGAGGGAGGCTCGGACTGCACTGTGGCAGCGCGGGAAGGAGGACGTGACACCTACTGAATAATGAATGGGGAAAACTGACAGCCTACTGAAGAAGACTGAGCTACTTAATCTGGCCCAAGTGTTAGTACTGAATCCCACTCTCCTGGGGCGGAGGTTGTGCTGCTCTAGGGTGGCCTCTGTGGGTCCCTTGGGCTACCCCACAGGCAGGCTACAAGGTCTCTTACCTATGGCTGTAGTTACATGATACCCTGTGGATATCTGAGGGGAGACTGGTGACCAGGAAAAATGTATCCAAATAACAAGGGCCAAATAAAAAAGACCTGAGGTAAATATGAGGAGCCTAAGAGTGAGGAACCAGGAGTTGGGGAGCATGAGCAGGACCAGCAGGTTGAATGGATGAGAGGCTGGCTGGTCTGGGTACATTCCAGCAGCAGGCCTCTGCCTGTGCTTTCTTGCACTTCCAGTGGTGGGCCATGTGTGCTAGATGGATTTACACTAGGGTCCAAGGACGGGGTGGGGCGTCTGGGAGCAAAGGACCAGAGCCCGTGTGGTTAGTCCTATCTTCATGCCTCTAGATTATAGGCCTTCAGTCTGCTTTCCTCTTTTCTTCACAGCTGCCATCATCTGCCCTATCTTTTCATTCTACCAACCTGAAAGTGGCTGAAATGGGCTTAGTTAGGACACCAGTATCGTGGTTTAGGTCCCAGGACTTTGAAGATCTGGGTAATTGGCACACACAGAGTTGGGGTGCCTACAGTGGTTTCTGTTGGTCACCTGGAGCACGGACAAGTTGAGCCAGCTCAAAGTGACAGGACTGGGTAGGGAATTTTCTGCAGCCTAACCTGCTGCCTATGCAGGCGTCTATCTGTTCCCACACATTTTGGGAAACAGCTCCAGCCTGTTATTTCTTCTTCACAGCAACCGCCATCTACAACCTCTAGATGTAGATCCTACCCAGCCTAGGCCTCATGTCTGTGCCTTCTCTTCCTAAAAGTGCCAGGACTTCTGCCTGCTGTTCTTTTTCTGCACAGCTGCCATCGCCCATTCTGCTCCTCTCTCTAATCCTCATTCCGGATTATGCCTGTCCCCAACCCACTTTTCTTGCTATTCCTGAAATGTGCACATAGGCTCTTGCTTAAGGGAATTTCTCACTAAGGAGAAGCAGACATGAGGCAAAGGGGAAGGAGAAAGGGGAGGGCATTTTAGAGCCGGATGAGACATCTAATGAATACTGGAACTGGACATCTGTGGTTCACACCGGCATGTGACTGAAGTCCCTTCCTTGACGCCTCCTTGGATGGTCCCAAGGAAGTCTTGATATTCTCATTCTTTCCACCCTTTTGCCCTGATTGTAGAGCTTAGCCATCCTTCCTATTCCTATTTATTTAGAGTATAGTGCTCAGGAAAGCTTTGCTGAACAAGAACTCAGGAGGGGGATGCCTTTTTAATCTTCCCCCCTGCACCACCGCTCTGCCCACCTCCAAACCCCCACCACTTGCCAACTTGACAGAGGCCTTCTTGGACAGCGGGCTTCGTCTAAAGACGCAGAGATAAGTAAGCATGATTTCACCCAACAAATGAAGGTCCCATATGCCAGGCCAAATGTAGCCTTTAATAGGCAATGAGGGGCCACAAATTATTTTTAATGAGGGAATGCCAACAGAAGGCACCTTACATTATGCACAGGCACTCAAGAAATAGTTACATAAATATATAAATGAGTAAAGGATCATAACTCACTACTGGGAAGATAATGGAAAATGCATGAGAGGTCACCCTTCACCATATGCTGAAGTAGGTGAAGTTAATCTCTACTTTCCTCCTGTAGGACTCTTCCCCCATGTAACGGGTGCATTCTTGGCTATACTCTACCACTAAAGACATTCCCTAGCGCCACATATACAGGGTGGGGCAAAGTTGTGAGTACACAAAACACAGTTTATTCTTGTATTATTATTTATTAACTACTGTATTATTTTCCATAAGAACAACTGTAAATCTACTTTTGTCCCACCCTGTATTTAGCTAATATACCAGTTTAAGAGGGACAAAAAAAGAAATCTCTCCTGATAGGATTTCTCTCACAACAACAGGCTATAGGGGAAATTATCTAAAATAAGAGCAACACAACGTTTCCAAGATGGCGGCGTAGGTAAACACGGTATCCTATCCTCCCACAACCACATCAAAGTTACAACTAAACTACAGAACAACCATCATTCAAAACCACCTGACATCAAGCTGAATGGAAGACCCACAACTACGGAATTAAAGCAGCAGCCACATCCAGACTGGTAGGAGGGGCGGACTGACGGGCTGGTCCCACACCCACGTGTGGCGGATAAAAATCAAAAGGTTCCCTCAGCTGGGAAGGTCCTTCCTGAGGACTGAGGGGTCCCCGTCCCACATCAGGTGCCCCCTCAGGGTTCCAGTGCCAGGAAGAGAAATCCCCATAACTTCTGGCTGGAAAAACCAGCAGGAACTGAGGCTCAGGGAAGCTGAGGCGGCTGGAGCCCAGGCAGCTCCTTAAAGGGCCCACGCATGGACTTATCGGACTCTCTCCCTCTAAGCTCGGAGGGGAGGCAGCTCAAGGGGCACCAGAGACATACAGGGAAGAACTGAGCTGTTTGGCACTGGAGCAAAGGCTGGAAAGGCGGCTTCTCAGGGACAAATATGCTGTCAGAGGCCTTTGTTCCTTTGGTGAGCCCTTCCCTGGGGCGGCAGACAGTCGCCATATCTGGGACTCCAGCAACCTGGCTCACACTGGTAGCCCCGCCCTGGAGACTCCCTGAGGCCCCGCCCCACCCAACTTTCAGGCCCACCCAAGCTGTTGCCATTTGCTTAACCATAGGATTGGCCTGTCTTGGATCCTGCTTCAAGTTTTCCTAAATTCTTTCAAACAAGCAGCATCTGGTCTCAGAGAGCCCCATACCTCTGGTTAAGTAATACACAGAAACAAACACAGGGAGGCAGCCAAAATGAGAAGACAAAGAAACAGGTCCCAAATGAAAGAACAGACCATAACCCCAGGAAAAGAACTAAGTGAAATGGAGATAAGCAACCTAACAGATGCTGAGTTCAAAATACTGCTTATAAGGATGCTCAATTAACTTAGTGAGAACCTCAGTGAACTTAGTGAGGGCCTCAAGAGCATAAAAAAGGACCAGTCAGAAATGAAGGATGCACAGTCAGAAATGAAGGAGGCATTAACTGAAATAAAGAATAATTTACACAGATTCAGTAGTACAGTACGTAAATCCAAAAAGCAAACCATTGATATGGAATATAAGAAAGTAAAAAACACCCAATCAGAACAGAAAAAAGAATCCAAAAAAATGAGGACAGTGTAAGGAGTCTCTGGGACAACTTCAAGCGTTCCAACATTCGCATCTTGGGGGTGCCAGAAGGAGAACAGAGAACAAGAAATTGAAAACCTGTTTGAAACAATGATGGCAGAAAACTTTCCTAACTTGGTGAAGGAAACAGACATACAAGTCCAGGAAGCACAGACAGTCCCAAACAAGATGAACCCCAAGAGGCCCACACCAAGACACATCATCATCAAAATGCAAAAGGTTCAAGACAAAGAGAGAATCTTAAAAGCAGCAAGAGAAAGGCAGCTAGTTACCTACAAGGGAGTTCCCATTAGGCTGTCAGCTGATTTCTCAAAAGAAACTTTGCAGGCCAGAAGGGAGTGGCAAGAAATATTCAGAGTGATGAAAAGCAAGAACCTACAACCAAGATTACTCTACCCTGCAAAGCTGTCATTTAGAATCGATGGCCATATAGAGTTTCCCAGACAAGGAAAAGCTAAAGGAGTTCATCACCACCAAACTGTTATTATATGAAATGATGAAGAGTCTTTTTGAAGAAAATGATAAAATATATGAACAAACAAAATGGCAATAAATACATATCTATCGACAATGGAATCTACAAACAAAATGAACAGGCAGAACAGAAACATTCTCATAGATACAGAGAACATTTTGTTGGTTGCCAGATGGGAGGGAGGTGGGGGAATGGGTAAAACAGGTGAAGGGATTAAGAAGTACAAATTCATTGCTAGACTGACAAACCTCAAAGCGGTTGGGGGGTGGGAAGGAATAAACCAAAGAACTTATATGCATAACCAATGGACATAGACAATAGGGTGGGAAAAGGCCGGAGGGGGTTGGAAGTGGGGAGGAGGGGGTCAATGGGGGAAAAATGAGAAACCTCTGTAATACATTCAACAATAATGATTAAAAAAAAAAAGATTTGCAAACAAAAAAATAAAGAGCGCCCTGGCCAGTTTGGCTCAGCGGTTAGAGTGTCGGCCTGCGGTCCGGAGAGACCCAGGTTCGGTTCCCGCTAAGGGCACGTACTTCGGTTGCAGTTTGTCCCCGGCCCTGGTTGGTCGTGCAGGTGGCAGCCACTCGATGTGTCCCTTCACGTTGATGTTTCTCTCTCTCTCTCCCTCCCACTCTATCTGTACAAAAAAATGGAAAAAAATCCTCGGGTGAGGAAAAAAAAAAAAAAATAAGAGCAACAAATCTGGTATCATTTGAGATACACAGTACTGGCAGTTCAGCCCCAAAACTAAAGTGTCACCCCACTTCACAAATAGTAATTTCAGTAGGGCCAAACAAATAGGCCAGATTCAGTGGTTTGGAGGGTCCAGGGACCTTCCTAAGAGTGGAGACTTATCCACTGGCAAATGGAGCAGGTAGGCCAGGACAACATTCAAAAAAAAAAAAATCTTAGGGGAAACCCAGCAGCCTGGGCAAGCCCTGGGGCAGATGATTCCAGGCACAATAAAGATGTAACTAAGACAATGAGCTACCATTACACTAACTTAAAGCCCAACATCTACAAACTAACCCACCAGCTGCATTTATTTTTTTAATTTTCTCCCTATTCTAGCCTCATAAACTGTGAGCTCCTTGAGGGCAGAGACTGTGGGAAGTTTTGTCCAATGCTTTAAAGCCCTAAGCCATGTCTTTTCCCCATCAGGAACCATAAATGAACTTTAGGTTCATCTTTCATAGGAGTAATGCCATCAGAAACAATACGGACTACGGGTATCGAGCCTCTCATTTTCTCTCTAGGAAATAACACTTTCTGGGTGAGGAAGGGCAGGTTGACCAGAGCTGCAAAGCTGAAGTAGGTAGGTGACTCCCTGATTCTACTGTTTTGCCCAGTTCCTCTGGGGTAGCATGTAAAGCTCTTCAGCTATTAAAAACTGAACAAACCATCCAGATCCTTCTTCATGACATGATACCTGCTTGTAACCTCACACTTGGATGAGGGGGGAGTCATTTGAAAAGATGAGTCCTCTGATTTCCATTTTGAGGTCAGAGTCCTATATGCAGCCAAGACTTGCTGATCATAGAGCAAGCAGGCACTCGGCCTTCCCTAGAGAGAGGAAGAAGAGAAATCACAGAACCAATCCTCTCATTTTACAGATGGAGACCTGTGGCCCAGAGAGTTCAAGATCCAAGAGCCAGCCAGTGACAGGCTGAAGATCATATCGTGGTCTCACAATTCACATAGTTTAGTGCTATTTCAACTGCAGAGGCTATGGTAAAATCTTGTTCTCCGGAGAGCTGAAAAAAGGTAGGGAGCAGAATATTAAGTTTTGGGATTCCCTGTAGGCTTCAGTAACCTCTGTTATCTTGGCCTCCATTATCCTGGCTGTGGTTATCTTCTAATGATTTCCCTTCTGTGGAAAGTTGGATCCTAAGCCAGCTGGTTTTGGCTGGCACAGTCACCTTGCACATGGCTCAGGATCTCTCGGTCTGTAAACAGGCGGAAGGCAATCTGCTCACACTCCCGCCTGGTCCCACACTCAAACAAACACCCAAACAAGCCCTCCTCCAACGCAGCTAAATCAGAGTAGCCACAGGGCCCACAGTGCAAGATCCAGGGAGAGGACCAGCAGGCAGCCTCCAAGGGGGTCCGGTTGAGGTAGACGCCTAGGTTAACCCTCCGTTTCTTACTGGTTGGGTGTGAGTACAAGAGCCAGGATTCTGATAGTGCTCCAGCTTCCAGCTCTAGCCTCAGGGAACTGTCCAGCAGAGGGTTCTGCTGACTGGTAGGAGCATCTTTGCCAGTAGGGTCCTGGAGCCCATGTGGGATCTCCAGGGGCCGGAAACTCACCACACTGCCTTGGCAGCCATGCGGGGGCTCACAGAGCTGTTGGCTCAGGGCTGGTCTCTGAAAGCATTCACCATGGTCAGTGCTGAGAGCCTCTGCTCGGCATCTGTTTGGTGTCCGGGCACTGCAATACAGCACAGGGTGGCCAGCCCTCCCAGTCACCTCTGCCACTTCACACTCCACTGTCACCATCGGCTTAATGAGCCTGCCATGGTGCCATGTGGTGCCTAGGTCATCGCTGTAGATCATCAGGGAATGAGGCCTGGCTTTACATGGAAGCCGGAAGCAAAAGAACCAGTAAGGGATGTAGTAGGCGTACGCAGGGATGATCAGCCTCCCCGACTGCAGCTGGATGCCATGACCTGGGCCCACAGCAAATGTGGCCCAACGCTTCACTTCTGAGCCAATGACCTCCTCAGTCAGGTCCCTCACGTTGCTCCATGAACAGCCAGAATCCTGACTGCAGATGAAGCAGAGGCGAGCAGCATTCCTTCCTGACATAATCTGCTGACGCTCAGTGACATGGCCCCGCACACAAATGAAGAATAGGTACACACAGCCATTCTTCTGCTCCCACACAGGACAGGGGTTCATGGTCCGATGCCCAGGTAACGTGGCTTCTGTCAGTGGCATTAGTGGTCCCCACTAGACAAGAGTAAGGGAGAGAGAGAAGGAATGAGCTACTAATAGGAAGACATGAGGCTCATTAAAAGCATTGGAACTTTTCAGAGAAAATAAATAAATGGTATTGAAATCTATAAAATTGTGAAGACCCAAGTGTTCATTTAATTCTCAAACATTCTTTGTCTGAAACATTCCTCTGTCTGAAACATTCTTCCTTACTTTGTCTAGATGCCCAAATCACCCTCCAAAACCTAACTCAAAAGTCACCTCCTTTAAGAAGCCTTCCATGAAAGTCCCATCCTGTACCAAAGGCTTTCTCTTTGTAGATACAGAAGTTACAGCAATTATTATATAAATTATATATATATATATAAATATGTTTTTGTTGATTTTAGAGAGAAAGGGAGATGGAAAGAGAGAGAAACCGACGAGAGAGAGAAACATTGATCAACTACATCCTACATGCCCCCTACGGGGAATCAAACCCAAAACCCAAGCATGTACCCTGACCCGAAATCAAACCAGCAACCTCTTAGTGCACAGGGCAATGCTCTACCAATCTAGTCACACTGGACAGGGCTATATAACATTATATTTCTTATGTGACTGGCTCCCTCTCTAAACTATGAATCTTTTGAGGGTAGAAATCAAATTATTCTAATTTTGTATCTCCAGAAGAAAAGGAAGAAATACAAAGCAAAGCAGACAAACATGGAAGTTTTAGGCATATAAAGGGAAATTTAAGACAAATTTTTTTTTGTCCTCTACTACATTGGGGAGGCAATTCACAACAGTGTCATTAAAAACTCAAGCATGGCCCTGGCCGGTTTGGCTCAGCGGTTAGAGCGTCGGCCTGCGGTCCTGAGAGACCCGGGTTCGGTTTCCGCTAAGGGCATGTACCTCGGTTGCAGTTTGTCCCCGGCCCTGGTCGGTTGTGCGGGTGGCAGCCACTTGATGTGTCCCTTTCACATCGATGTTTCTCTCTCTCTGTTCCTCTCTCTCCCCACCCCACTCTACCTGAACAAAAAATGGAAAAATGTCCTTGGGTGAGGATAAAAAAAATAATAAAAAATAATAATAATAATAAATAAATAAATAAAAACTCAAGCATGGAGTTAGAGATACCTAGTTCAAACCCTGCCTTCACCACTTATTGTGTGACCTTGGACAAGTTATTTAATCTTCTCTTACTTCAGTTTCTTCATCAGTTAAATGAAGGATGTGATAACATGCTCAGAGAGGAATAGTTGCAAAGATAAAATGAGATCATGCCTAATCAGACATATTACAAAGAGAGGCCTAATCTCCTTAATATATTTTTAAAACAATATTAGAAATTGGTAAGAAAAGTACCAGAAACCCAACAGAAATAAACAAAGAGAAAGATCAGACAACTCACAGAAAGAGAAAAATGAAAATATGTTCAATCTCACAATATAAAAGAGAAAAACAAATTAAAATTAAGATAGTATTTTTCATCTAGTGAATTGGCAACATATAAATTTTGACAAAACTCTTCTGTTGGCAAAAAATGTGAAAAAACAAACACTCTCAAATATGAACTGGAATGCAAAATAGTTTTTAACACTTATGTAGTATCTATCAAAATTATACATGCATGTATTCTTTCCCAGCATGCCCAATTCTGGGAATTTATCCTAAGATATATCTGCTCATCAAATTAAGTATGTATAAGATTACTCACTGCGTGGGAGATCAAAGATGGTAGTGAAGTAAGGGGAAGTTACACTCACCTCTTCCCAGGACCAAACTGGAATTACAAATAAATTATAGAACAATCAACCTGAATAACCAACCTGAACAGCTGAATAGAAGTCTTATGACCAGATTTACAGAAGAAGCCACATCAAGACTGGTAGGTAGGGCAGAGATATGAAAAGGGCTGGCCCTAAAACCAGATGTGGTAGTTGAGAATCAGGAGGAATAACTCAGCTGCAAAGGTCCCCCCTGAGGCACAAGGGGTCTCAACCCCACACTAGGCTCCTTAACCCAAAACTCCAGTGTCAGGAAGAGGAACATAACATCTGGCTATGAAATCGGTAGGAACTGCATCCACCTGGGAGAGATCAGTCTGCGAGAAACCGAGGTACCCTCTTAAATGTTCAGTGCACAAAATCTCATTTCCACGGCTCACTCTGGGCTCTGGCAGGGAGGGACAGTAGCTCAGAGCAAACTAAAGTCATACAGGGAGAGCCTGGGTTGTGTGGCTTCAAGGAGAGGGCCACAGGGACAGCTACCATTGTCTCTGTGCTGAGTCTTTCTCCCGTACCACCTACAGATGCCATCTTTCCCAAACTGAGCACTCCCATCCATGCTGCATCAGCCTGTGGGGATGCACTAGTCCCACCCTCCCGACTCCTTGCAGACCCACCCTGTCAAGCTCATGCTCTGAGGAAGAGTCTGCTGTCATGGCCGGCCTGGGCCTGCAGTGCAGACTTGCCTGAAAGGCTCTCAAGGAGATCCATTTCCCACCTCAACCCCCACTCCCCAATACACACACACATGCCCAGACCAGCACCACAGCCCTCCCTCCACACAGCCAAATTTTAATCTGTTTTAGCCTGATGAACTCTACTGGCCTCACCTTGACAATTCTTGAGTCCTTGCCCCACCACAAAGGTCTGTGGGTGGTGGCTGGTCTTGGTGTACCCTATGACTTTTTCTGAATGGCCTCAGACCCAGCACTGGTGCTAAGTCTGAATCTCTATCAACATGGTGAACACCACTTGCCCCCACCAGGTGACTCAATGAGTGAGAACCTACTTCACACAACTCACGTACTACCAAGGGCTATTTCAGTGATGGAGTCTAACAGGCAGCCAGCAAACAAAGGCAGGTTTCAGGGTGCCTTGGGCCTTTTGCTGACCTGCCCCCAGACTCAGGGCTGGAAGAAGCTGGCCTTGGTATGCAGCTTGGCGCCTCCCCAATACACCCAGATCCAGCAGAGGCAGCCACAAACTGTGGATTGCTTTGTAGCTCCTAATAGAAAGCCCAAGGCCAGTCACAGGCAGCATCTGACATAGGCCTGCACCTGAGTCTCTCCAAAGAGGCCCCAAACCAACACACCCAATGGCAGGCTTCAGACATCAGAGCATGATCCAATTAGCTCCACAAGCAACACACCCAAAGGGAGATCTCAGCAGGTACCAGACCCTACTGGGGTGAATTTCAGTTCATGGGGTTAGCCCCCACACAGCAGCTTGTATACTGTGGTCAGGGTCAACACTCATAGTTAGCCAGCCCAAGAATGAACCCCACCCATAGATGTGCAAATAGCAAGCAAGACTAAGCTGCAGTCCTGGCCAAGTGGCTCAGTTGCTTGAAGCAATCCCATACACCAAAAGGTTGTGGGTTCAATTTCCAGTCAGGGCACATACCTAGGTTATGGGCTTGATCCCCAGTCAGGGTATGTATGAGACACAACAAATTGATGTTTCTCTTTCTTTCTCTCCCTCTCTCTCTCTAAAAATCAATAAACATATCCTTGGGTGAGGATTTTTTAAAAAGAACTAAACTATAATAGGAGGGCTTGCATAATCCACAAAAGAAGACATTCCTGGAGTACTTTACTAAGGTGATCAGGGAGATTGTGCCACTGAGCCCCACAGGACACCTACTACATAAGGCCACCCTACCATGACTGGGAGATATGCAGATCTACCTAATACACAGAAACAAACACAGAGAGGCAACCAAAATGGGGAGACAAAGAAATATGCCCCAAATTAAAGAATAGGAAAAATACCCAGAAAAAGAACTAAATGAAATGGAGGCAAACAATCTACCAGATACAGAGTTCAAAACAATGGTTATAAGGATGCGCAAAGAGCTTAGGGGAAAGATGGATGAACTCAGTGACAACTTAAACAAAGAGATAATAAACATAAAATAGGACATAGAAAACATTAAAAAATAACCAGTCAGAAATGAATATCTGAAATGAATAATACACTATAGGAATCAAAAGCAGATTAGATAATAAGAGGACCAAAGCAGCAATTTGAAAGACAAAGTAGCAGAAGATACCCACTCATAAAAGCAAGAAGAAAAAAAAAAACTTAAAAAATGAAGATAGCTTAAGGGACCTCTGGGACAACATCAAGTATAACAACATCTGCATTACAGGAGTACCAGAAGAAGAAGAGAGAACACAAGGGATTGGGAACCCATTTGAAGAAGTAATGACTGTAAGCCTCCCTAACCTGGTGAAGGAAAAAGACACAAAGTCCAGAAAGCACAGAGAGTCCCAAACAAAAAGAGCCCAAGGAGGCACACAACAAGATACATCATAATTAAAATGCAAAAGGTTAAAGACAAACAGAAAACATTTTTTTAAAATATATTTTCATTGATTTTTTTAGATAAAGAGGAAGGGAGAGGGGAAGAGAGATAGAAACATCTATTAGTAAGAAACATTGAATGGCTGCCTCCCGCACGCCCCATACCTGGGCATGTACCTTGACCGGGAATCAAACCAGAGACCTCTCGGTGCATGGGACAATGCTCAATCCACTGAGCCACACAGCCAGGCAACAAACAGAAAAAAAAAATTTTTTTTCCTTCTTTATTTTAGAGAGAGAGAGGGGAAGGGAGAAGTAGAGAGAGATAGAAACATTGATAAGAGAGAACATTGACTGGCCGCCTCCTACATGCCCCCCACTGGGGATTTGGTCCACAACCTGGGCATGTGCTCTGACTGGGAATCGAACTGGTAACCTCTTGGTGCATGGGTTGATGCTCAACCACTGAGCCACACCAGCCAGGCCAAACAGAAAATCTTAAAAGCAGCAAAAGAAAGACAGTTACTACAAGAATGTCTCATAAAGAGTGTCACTTGAGTTCTCAACAGAAACATTTCAGGTCAGAAGGAACTGTCATAAAATATTCAAAGTTATGAAAGCATGGACCTACAACCTAGACTATTCTACCCAGCAAGGCTACCTTTCAAAATTGAGGGTGAAATAAAGAGCTTCTCAGACAAGAAAAAGCTAAAGGAGTTC